TTTTTAGTTTGCGTGTCGACCGGCGACATTCCCACGCTGGCACACAGGAAATGATTCCTCACAACAAGAAGGGAGGGGGAGGAAGAGTGGAGAGTGTCATAGCAAGAGGTAGAGCGCAGGTAGAAAGAGAAAGCAACATGGCAGAGAAGCGGCCGAGACACGGTTCAGAAGTGGATCCTACCACAAAGGCAAGTGCTACTCTGTGTACGGTGTGTGACGACTGGCGAGTGTTACTCTGTGTACATGGAAGTGCCGCCGGCTTATTAGTTGTAATAACGCATTATCCGCTGGGAGGCGACAGAAGTTACGCACTATAGCTTTAACTTGTAATTCACCTTTAACACGAAAGGCAGCAATGCCTGCCCAGCATCGTGGCTATCCCCAGAACTAACTTGCAGCAGAGAGGCAGCTCTTCACTGCTGGAGACTTTAAATAACACAACAGAGCTGTCATTGTGGATCACTACAAAAACAGCATGCTATGTTTTAAAGGTAGTTTTAAAGTAGTCACACAGTGAGAAAAAAATTTCATGTATAGAAATCAAAAATTTATTTACAAAGAGATTCCTGGTGATGCATGGATAATCTTTTTACAATGGAATCACTGTGCTCTGAATCATAATCAAATCGTGAGGTGCCTGGGGATTCCCACCACTAATATAGGCAGTATTGTAATACAATGTTTAGCTCCATTATGCATTAATACAAAGTAATTTCCTTCCTTTAACCAAATCCAACCCAATTTAATAATACTCTTGTGACTAAATTGCTGTATCTCCTAAATGTTAGGAGCAAAGCCAGCTGTCAGACAGAACACTGTAAATTTTACAGGTGGAGTTGATGCACCGTCAATATATATAGGCGATTACGTTCCAGGTAGCAAGATTTGAATTGAAAAAGTGTCGAGTTGAGTGAGAAATTGTCCTTGGGCAATGAAGAGAAAGCCAATCAGATTGCTGCACGCTGCATACAAGCTCCTGTAGGTTTCCTTTCCTACAGCAGTATTTACAGCAGCACTAATGTCCCCTGGGTATTTATGGCCACTAAGAATGATGTCTGAGCGTAAGGTTTATATAGACCATATTCTTTAAAGAAGACAGTATTGAAGCTGCAGCTACAAGCATGAGGGACTTAGTATGAAACCTGAGAGAACGAATGATTTTGATAGAAAAAAGCAGAACAGAAGTAGAGTTTCAAGTGTATGCACACATTGTCTGAGTTTTTTCCTTTTCCTGTGAAAGATATTTCATTAAAGAACATCAAAAGTTACTTCCTCCCTATCTCCTTTTTCTTCCTCTCTTTATATGGCTTTGGCAGAGGCTGTCTGTAGCTTCATTACAGCTGAATGTCACAGGTAGACTGGGCCATTCCTACTAATTAGTTAGTTTATGGTAGAGCAGGGGAATAAAGGGACATTGCGCTGTACGATCTGTTCACTCGTGACCTCTTGTACCTGCTGAAGTGCCTGACAGGAACATGAATCTTCCTTGAGGATGGATGACTAACCTAAAGACACAAATAAAAATACTATATAGCATGACCTGAAGAGACAGAGTGAGAAGACAGAGGAGAAGCAAGAGGCAGATTTTAATGAGGAAAATGAGAGGGTGGGGAGATGCAGTGCTTGCTGCTGATGAAAGAGGAGATTAAGAGGTGATAGAAGGAGAGGGAGCAAGGTGGGGAGAGAGGGATGTAGTGCTTAAGGGAGAAGGGGAAGAACAAAAAAAGGAGGAGGCGGCAGTGGAGGCGGAGGAAGGACATGAGAGAAAGTGACGATGAGGTGTGTTTTTTTTAAAGGCAAAAGTTTTCAAAGTTTGAAGAGATAGTGAGAGTTAGGAAGAAGATGTCTGCGAGGGTTGAACATATCTGCAAAAACACCCCCAGGTTGGAATAAAGAGACAGTTTGGGAGGTTGAATCATAGAGCTGCTATACTTAATCAGTAGAATGGCCATTGCAGATTGTGTGTGAATGTGTGGGATGGGGTGAGAGTGAAGTTGCTTCTATTTAGATCATACTGAAAGCGGCTTCCTCCCCCTCTCACAGAATAGGTGACATGCTTTAAAGAACAGTCAAAGTGTCCCCGTGTCTTGTGATTATGTTTCATTACTGTGTTGACTAACATGCCAATCAGTTATAGAGAACAAGAATGTGCAGAAACAGATGAATGAAAGCAGAGCACACAGACAGCGTGAAGAGAATGAGGCACTGAAGAGAGAAAAGTGGAGCAAAATTAGGAACACTGGTGGAGGTAAAATAAGCATGGTACGGGTGAAAAAGTCAAAACGGTGGCAATATCTGGGTAAAAAAAATGAGACAACAGTAATGTGTTGATATGATATAAAATGGGGCAACACTTAAGCAGTATCACAGAAGGAGTGCTGTTGTACTGCGTATCAGCATGGCTGTGATGTGGTCGTAGGCACAAGGCTGAGTGCTCAGTTTTGTTTCGTTTATCTTGGGTAGCATAAATGGACTACAACTGTATTTCATTATGCTACCCTGGACCTTTCTTTTTCCTGTGGAAAAAAAACATGTATGTGTTGCTTTTACTTCATTCCTCTATATTATCTCTGGGTTGAATATTAAACCAGTGGGAGTTGCCATAGAGAGATTTCTTTTTTAATCCTGCAGAGGCTGTAATTTTACATAATGTGTACTCATAACTCTTGAGTTGGGCACACAATACATAAAAATTGCATGTGTCATGCAGGTAGTAAGAAGGTGAAAATAATCATTAGGATGCACCTTTAACATGTTCAGTAGCATCAGGGGGCCTTGCATCTCCACAGAATGCTGTTTATTTCTGACCAGCATTGCCAATTTAGCAACTGTCTTGCTAGATTTAGCAGCCCCCTCAGCAACATTAAAAAAAAGGATAGCCACAAATCTTAGCTCCTCTCCCTTGAAGAGAGCCACCAGTATCCCTCAGCCAGTGCTGTGCTAATGCTTCCATGTGACCAAAGCTCTCTGGGCTGACCATGTTTGAGGAGTGTGAGAGCAGCTGAGAGGTTCAGTTGACCAATCAGCTGCCAGACATAAATGTAAATGATCTGTGAATGTGTTCCACCAATCACTGATCCCCATTGTTTGTCCGGGAACTCCTTCTCCTTTGCTTTTGTTGAAAAAGATGTATCTGTGTCTCAAATCAGATACTTCTGTTAGTACACTCAATCAATCGAACAATCAATCAATTTTATTTATAAAGCCCAATATCACAAATCACAATTTGCCTCACAGGGCTTTACAGCATACAACATCCCTCTGTCCTTTGGGCCGTTGCAACAGATAAGGAAAAACTCCCCAAAAAAACTCCTTTAACAGGGGAAAAAAACGGTAGAAAACTCAGGAAGAGCAACTGAGGAGGGATCCCTCTTCCAGGACGGACAGACGTGCAATAGATGTTGTACAGAACAGATCAGCATGATAAATTAACAGTAATCCGTATGACACACTCACATGCAGTACACTCCATACACTACGTACTTACTTACATATTGCTCAGATGTTGACAGAGTAGTGGCTTTGGCACACTTAACAGAAATGACGGTTATAAGATTTGACAGCTTTTCTTTTTCTGCTTGTGATCCGGGCAGAGCATCATCACCAACATTTGACAAATGACTGTCACTGCCCAAAATATATGCTTGCTATATCTGCTCTTTTGTCCACTTCTCTTCTTCCATATTCATTTATTTATTGAATTAAAATGAAAGTGCTTTCAAAGCACATTTTGAATGTCTGTGGCTGATGCTAGATAGCTGCCACATTCTGCTAATATTCATAGTTTGTCAGGCATCAGACTACAAATGAAATACTAAAATTATCTAAAGTGAGGATGCAATTTAACATGCATAAACACCAATGTAACTAACATCACACCCTGGACCGTATAGTTTACACCACAGCACATGTAACGTCAATGCTAGCTAGCTCGCAAGCTAACCTTAGCATTTGCATTCTAGTTTGCAGTACCAATTTATTACAGGATTACCTATTAAACAAACTGACGGCTTACATCCAACAACAGCGAAGTGGTAGTGAAAAATACACATGTATATTAGTACACTGCTTCTGTGTTCACTGTGTTGTGTTTGTGGTCCTGCTATTTCTGCTATGTAGGCAACAAGGTGACCACTGAGGGTGAGAAGTTCCCAAAACTCCACACCCAACTTTTTTACCTTTATGACCACACCATCTAGGTCCTTACAGTGCACTGCATTTTGCCATACTACTAAATGTGAAAGCCCTTGTGCTTTTAAAAATAGTATGTATGAGCACAGAAGTATGCAATCTGAAACACAGCATAGTAGGTTTCCTTTTTCTTTTTTTTAATGCAGTTTGTATGTGTTAGATTATTCCACCATCTTGTTTCTCTCTGTTCAAGGTACTTCAGTTCCACAGTTGATAGAATAGCCTTCATCAAAAGTTTGTCAAATTGCAGGTAGATTGAGATGCACACAGATGAGATGATAGCAGCTTGCACTTAAATATAATAGCAAACAGTAAGGCTATAGTCAGTTAAACTCACTGTGATTAGTTTTTCTGTTTTATGTGCTTCCGCACTCTCCTTGACTTACGCTCTTTCTATTACGCTAGAGTTCTTACACACACACACACACACACACACACACACACACACACACACACACACACCAACATCAAAACACCCAGCAACTAATATAATTTTTTTCTAAACTTTTTTTTCAGTAGTCCTGTATTTATTATTTGTAAATAATGTCCGTCGGTTGTCTTGCAATACAGAATTTGAGGTGAAATAAGCTAATATTGCAGATTACCCTCAGTATCTAAATTGTGCTTCAGTACCACTAAAACATTTGCAGTAGTATTAGTTGAAGTGCAATTAGTAGTAGTAGTAGTATTCATGTTGTCAGGTAACTCCACACCTGCTGAGTTGCAGTGATGTTAGCAGTCATATGTGCGAGTAGTAGTGATAACATTTGTAGCAGAGCTTTCAACAGCAGTAATACAGTAATACTTACTCTCTGTATATCTGAAGTGAGTTGCAGTAGTGTTGGAGAAGCTGTAGCTCTCAGAGTCTCTGTCCCTCTGACTGGAGAGTTCAGACTGACGTAGGCCACTGCACTGCTCTGTAGGACAACACTGTTATCCTGAAGGGAACACGAACACACACACACACACACACACACACACACACACACAGAGGTTATTATCATTACGCTTCCAATGATATTCATAATTAAATAATTGTTGTCATCACATTTTCATCATTATCATTATCTCAAGTCCACAAAAGAGTCCTTTCCAGTTCTTAGGATTCCATTATTGTCCTCTGCAGCCATTTTTTTGTCTTCTGCTTTTGCTTGCAATGTAATTCAATCTAATTTTAATCCATCAAATTAAAACCTACAATTTGTTTTAATCTGAAAATTTTATGAAGTACACGTAAGTATCCCACACATTTTTGCCAAAGACGTTTTTCTAATTCTATAGGAAGTCACTGTCAGCCAAAACTATAGCTGGGTTATGTGGGAATAAGAATAATAAATAGCCAGTCATAAATGAGTCCTACTCAATCAAAACAATATAGTCTGATTGCAGGTGTGTCCAGTTGTTCTTCTATTGTGGCAGCAATCCTGCATTGGAAGATTATAGTATAAACACCCACTACTTAGAATGGCTTTCCTCTTTCTTCTTGTAATTGCTAATTAGGGCCATTTTCAGAAACTGCTACCAAGCCCTAGCAGTGTCAGAAAAGGAAAAAGTTTTTCTGAAACTAGAATTACAACCTTGCTATTGTATGCCTCTGCTCACCCGTCAATCAGCAGTTACAGATTGCATCGATGTCTGTGAAAACATGGATGTAAACACAGAAAACTGTTTTTGCAGAACATTATAAGGTCACAGTGAAGTTGACCTTTGACCCTTTGAATATAAAATGTCATCACTTCATCGTTTTATCCTATTAATTAGCCAATGAAAACATGTTTTGTGCTGACCATTTTCTAAACAATTCATTCCATGAGGACATTTGTGCCGAGTTTGAGGACTTTACCTCTAGGCCTTCTTAATATATAGAGTTCACGAGTATAAGACAGGTCACAGTGACCTTGACCCTTAACCACTAAATTCTAATCAGTTAATCCCTGATTCAAAGTGGACGTTTGTGCCAAATTTGTAAAATAAAAAAAAAAAAAAAAAATTCCTTGAGGTGTTCTTGAGATATCACCTTCATAAAAATGAGACAGATGCAAGGTCACGGTGACCTTGACCTTTGACCACCAAAATCCAATTACTTTTTCCTTAAATGCAAGTGGATAGTTGTGCCAAATTCAAAGAAATTCCCTCAAAGTGTACACAATAATATGGATAGACAACCCAAAAACATAATGCTTCCAACCAAAGCTATCACCAGCACAGAGGCAGAAAAATAGGTTTCTCTATGTGTATGGTGATCCATATATAGCCACAACCTTTGACCCCTAAATTGACATTTAATAAAACAGATGCTCTTGTGTTTACTGACCTTTCCCCACTCATAGGACCCAATATTCCCTAGGGCTGACCCTCCCCATGAGCAAAACACAGTGGTACGGTCTGGCACCCATCCTCTTTTGGACTGCTCTGTCAGCGCTGCGATGAGCTGATTCATGATGGCTGAAGCCCCACCTCCCTGGTCGCTGTCATGACGACTGCCAACCAGCACATAGCGATCTGACAACATATAAAAAGAGCAATTCATGAATTTATTTCTTTGGCTGTAGGTGACTAATGCTACTGTATAATAAAGTGGATGTTGTTGACATAGATCTGTTTTTAACTCTCAGAGACAAACATAAAGCATCAAGAGATGTGATGTGGATGGAGAAACAAATGGAGGAAAATAAATGATGAATGTAGATGTATAAAATGAAAATGTATAGCTCTGGAAAACTATAACAAAATGGTATTTACGTACAGTGTATGTATGGTTTCCCTGGGAAACACACTCACCCACGTTCACACACGTTCACACACAAACATGAATGCTCCAGGCTTCTTTGTATGCCTTACATTTTCTACAAAGATAGAGTGTGGATGCACAAAGCAGCTTCCTGCAGGCTAAGAGAAGAAGAGAGCAAAGCTCATCACTCCAACACAGAGCGCTGATGACTTTGTTTGAGAAAAGAGGTGCTTAGAGAAGCCTGCTAGCTTAGCCTACAAATCTGACAACATATTATTGCACTGAGAGCAGCTTCCAGGGTAAATCAACCATTACTGTAAACTGCCTCAAATCAGTCATATGTGAAAGCGCAATTTGCTCTATAGTTTTTTTTTTCATTAAATTGTATATGTTTTTTCATGGCTATGTTTATTGCTCAGGATTCACACACTAAAGATTAAATGAAGCATTTGTATGAAACATTTATGAATAAAAGAAATCATTAAATACATGAAGCTGTGTTTCTGCTGCCCTCAGGTCTGGATAAATTATTAATGGTTCAGCAGGCACCAACTGAGGTTTAGTGTAGTTGAGGGGAGATGGTTTCTTTGTTTGTTTGTTTTTTCAGTACTGTACCTCAGTCCCAGGTTTTTTAGATGTCTTCAGGTTTGTAGCTGTGTTCGATCTTAATGAACTACCTTCACTTGTCTTTCTAGAGGCATTCAGCCCACATATTGCTCCCCTCAGCTTGAGGAGCGATATTTTCAGTGCATAATAATGTATACATAATAATAATAATAATAATAATGTATACCTGGAGCATCCCTTGGTAGACACTGTATTTTAACATCTACATGGGAAATGGATTTGGAGTTGGGTATAATACTATGGAGGGAGTATACAGCCTCAAATCATGACATACATTTAAGAGATCTGACTTACTAAGGTATCCCACTGTAATGTAGATTCCCTCTGTGACTAGATTATGTCTTTCTCTGCCATCCTTGGCTATATGATTTTGAATTATTAAATTTGTAGAGCTCTGTGTTTAAAACTCTGAGATATTGTGGGCCCAAAAACTAGAGTCAAATTGCTGTGACCTTTTTAACTCTCAAGAAGGTTAATTTTTATAAAATTGGAAAAGGCCACATATTTCCAGTCAAAGTCTGTGGTTGAAGGAAGTGATGCATTGAATTGGCGAGGCTCAGGTAAGTCATGGTCCCCATGAAAAATTCAAGAAAATATAACTTTCATCAATTATGCTACTACTAAGGTTTAACTCTTTGAACTCAATAGAAATTGTCAGCAGGTGCCCAGGTATTTTTGCTCACTCTAATGTCATTTCATGGAGTGTCTTCAAATGTTTCATATAACTTAAATCTGAGCTAAAAAGGTTATGTAAATCGAAATAAAAACACTAAACAAAACATATGCAAAATACTTCTTGACACTACATTAGTGTAGTTCTTGAGATATACTCATTTCTATGAGCAGAGTGCCAAGGTGTTGTGATGGAGTCATTTATCCCGCTGGCGCCACCATATGTTTTCGCATGGTTTTGCACCACAACATCACGCAATAATGTCACTACAAGCGTACAACGTGATGACACAGAGAGCAGAAGCCTTAGCTTCCTGCTGTAAAAAGAATGAATATTCTAGCTATTATGATTTATATGGTTGATATATACAGGATTATGTAAACAACAATCTCCTGCAGTCATTAGGGGGAAATCTGTGGGGTAATTCCAGTGTAATTCTGGCAAAATACTACATTTGCACTGCATGTAAGGTAAGGTAACACAAGGTAATGACGTGATGCTAGGAAATACAGAGGCTTTAGCTTTCTGCTGCAAAAAAAATGAATGCTCCAACTATTATGTTTTTTATTTTAAATCAATATATATTAAGGATTATGCAAACAACGATGTCCCGTGGCCATTATGGGGATATACTAACGTAATTACAGTGAAATACCAAGTTTGTGTGGCACGTTAGGTAAGGTAACAGCAGGTCATGACATGATGACAGTGAGGACAGAAGCCTTAGCTTTCTGCTGCAAACAAAATGAATTCTCAAACTAGTGTGGTTCTTATTTTAGATCTATTTAAACAGGATCATACAAACAATAATCTCCTGTGACCGCCTGCAGGAGGTATGTTTTTAAAGAGTTAAACTTTTCTCTCACTTTTGCTTAATTGTGCTGTAGCTGTCATCTTTGTAACTTCCCCTATTTGTTTCTTGTTTTGCCTTCAACAACTGTATATTCAAAAGTCAGAACATTTTGGAGGGAAGACTAAAACACTGTCAGCTGTGTTTTTTCATGGGAATTGTAAAGAACGACAAAAGTTACAATCCTTACAGCCTTTACCCTCTTTGTCACATTTTCTGCATCAGCATCAGATAGCTTTATTAGTACATACAAAGTCGAAGCATATGCTACTCTCTGTATAAATAAACACTTTAGATGAGCATTGACTAGGGGAATCTGGTATTGTAAGTGACGCTAACTGATGCTGACAAGCTGATTTGAAGCTTAAGTTTAACACCTCCTCATTCTTTATAATGCAGGGCTTCATGTCAAATTTGATATACATGCCTTTCTTTGATTCCCTGTTAAGGATTCAGGTGGTTACATCTGAACAACTCTGAATGTTTAAGCTAACTTTAGCTGGTATCACACATCTAATTTCTCCTTTACCTGTTATAGCTTTACACCTTCCTCTTGTTTCTACACTTAGAGTGGAGCAGACAAGCTAATCTCAGAGTCATGTAGACATAATTACAAGGCTTGAAGAGGATCACACAGGTGGGAGGATTGAGAGGATGATATGTGCAGTTATGTAACAGTGAAGCTGTTGTAATACACAAGATGGTCTGGTAATCAGGATGCTTTTCAAAGTTTGAACACTGACAGAACATGAAGGGTTCAGCATGCTGAGGTGTCCTCTGAACTAAAGCTACACTGATAATTTGTCTGGGCTTGATGCTTCTGCAATAAGATAATATGTCGAGTAACAGTGTCGAGAAAGAGCACCAAAAACTATAAAAAGTATTGGATACAATTTGAGTTTTTTTTAAATTTGTGAAATACCCCTCTGGTTGGCAATGTTAGTCACTCTGTATTGCATTGCTACAGTGGTAATCATGTCAAGACTTACTTAAGAGAAGCCAGGTTTGATCATTCACTTCATGCCATTACAAAACTGATGGTTAGTGGTCAGGATTTTGAAGACAAAGTACTAGGTAGGGAAGCCACCAATGAAACGGTAGAAAAATAGCAACATCTTTCCACTAAGTGCAACTTAAATATGTCTTCTGTAAGCAGACCGCATTTTATCTAAGTGTTGTTTGCACATAGCAATACAGATTCAGGTAAAATAGCCCTCTATATTATTGTGGGTTGTAAGAGTCAAAACGTTTGCGAATGTGCATGAATATTCATCCTGTTTAGGGTCGAGATAAATGAGCGCCGAACAGACATATGATCAAATGCCAACAACCAGTTAAAGCGTCGCTCCTTCCAGAGATTTGTGGCCCATATTATCTGCTATAGTGGCCCATTATGGCTGCCTAATATCACACTGTAAATCAGAAAGGTAATTTTCCACCAGTGACTGGGCAGGACAGGTACGATAGCTTTGCATTGCTACAAGTAGAGGGGAGGGCAGGAGAGGAGGATGTCTGTGGGGGCGAGGCAAGGGCAAGATAAAGGGTCTCCTCTGCAGAATGACAATTATAAAAGGATGAAGGCAGAAACAGCTTAGCAAAAGCGGCTGAGCTGCCATTTAAACATTAAAAGGACATAATATGTTTGGATATTACCTGTGCTGACACTAGACTGGGACACAGGAGGAGACAAACGAAAAAAAGAAAGAAAAAAAAAAGATTGATTTGAAATAAATCCCAGTATGTATGACTGATAATTAAAATGTTTACATGTTTCTGAGACCTGTCACTCAGTACATCTTATGAATACAGTAAAATGCATAGGGTTGGGTATCGTATGTTTTTTTTTTTCCCCATACAGGTGCTGAACCAATACTTTTAAAAAGGTATCGGTGCTTAAACGGTGCCTGAACCGATACCTCAAAATATGAGTTTTTTATAGAGGTTGAAAAGTATCACAAATTAGCCACCTTTCAGAAGTGTGTGAGTATTTTGTATAACAGTTTTAAATTGTAATAAAAACAATGTTTTTATTTATTTATTGCTGAGGCAAATTAGAAATACCTATAAATAAATAGGTATATGAACTCTAACTCTAACTAACAGTTTTAAAATATAATAAAAAACACTTAACAAATTAACATTACAATAATATTAACTCTATTAAAGTCCGGTCTCTGTAGGCAGCCCAGGCTCCGCAAATGGCGACAAAAACATTTGGGTCGAGGCTGTACCAACCAGCCAGCAAGAGACCAGCGAAAACGAGCACACACACACGAACGCGGTACCCATGTCTCACGGTCTCGCTCAAGCACGAACACGGTGCCCAGAGAGGCAGTTAGAGCTACAGGCTACAATGAGGCTAAAAACAGAGTTCAAGTGATGTTTTTCCAAACAACTTTTTATGCCAGGGCTTCAGGACACTTGGATCTCTACGGACGAGCAGTATGGAGATATTTTGTGGTTTCAAGCTAGCTCCGTTGTGTTTGATAACATTGTTGAACGTAAACAGAAGTGACTCCCAACAGTGCTTAAAGTGCCTTTAAATAATAATATACACTCAACAAATAAACCAATGAATGAATGAATGAATGAATGAATGAATTATTATGTTACGTGTAACATCCAATAGAGGGAGACATAGCATTAAAAAAAGCACCAAAAGGAGGCACTGTAATGTGCGTTTTGTTTCGGTCCGATAGGTATCGGTTGTATAGGTACCGGTTCCATATAAGCACCAACTTTCAGTACCCAACCCTAGTCTTGAAACAAACGGAAAAAAAACAGGATGACAGAGAGAAACCATAACGGTGAAGTTAGCTGCAGACATTGTTTAAAGCTCAACTAATTAACATTCTTTAACTTAACAATGGATCAAATGACTACATGTAATTTCAAAGAGGTCACTTGTAGAAATGAACCTGAAGAGAATTATAACTTAACTCTACAGGTGTACAGTTCCCTTTGGCCTCTTTCAGCTTACTATTTTGCATGTACAGCTCTCATATTCCACTCTCTCCAACAATTTACCAAACCAACCATACAAATATTGTACATTACTGTTAGCAGATATAAGGACAAACAGTGAATGAGAACAGCCTGAGTGGTTTGAACTGCTGCTAATTTTCTTAATTAATTGATTAATTAAACTCCAATAATTTATTAATAGCTTGTTGTAAAAAGTCAGGAAATGGTTATTTTTATATTTTTTACATACTTCACACTTACATTTCTTCTTCTATAGTTCTCTATGCTCAGCATCAGAGCGACTGTAACACTATGTGCTTCCCCCTGGGGATCAATAAAGTATTTATGATCCTGATTCTGAAAAATGCCCATTACCACTTCCACAGCAAGGTGAAATATACCTCTATAATGGATGAGAGACTAGAATGAAATAAAACAGAGAATATTTACATTTCAATAGCTAGAACAATAAATGAAGTTACTAAATAATGCATCATCAAACCTTTGACTAATCACTAAATCAGTGATAAATGTTTCAACTCTCAAATGCTTTCTTGTTAATTAAATGGTGAGCTAATGTTAATGTAGCTACTGTTGTCACAAGCTGGATGTGGCTGGACATAACTTTCAGTCAACTTTTTTTCATGTTCACTATTGTATATGTAGGAATGGGTGCAAAATTAGTGTTTGCTGTCCACCATTTAAATCTTAATACAGATGTCTCCTATGTTGTGCTGCTTGTCTCAAGTTAAACTGAGTGAACAGGATTTTGAGTGAACAAGCACGTAGCTCCAAACCCTTTCATGTGAACTTAAACTAGCGATAAACAAATAACAAAGATGTGACGAAAAGTAATCAACATTTTAGCAAGACTTTAACTGAATCATGATCATGAAGATGGTTAATTGGTTGAAAGAGTGAGCACTCTTATCTTCAGTTGTCATTGCTATGTCAAATACGAAGATATTGAGAAACAGTTTTTGCTTGAAGACAAAACTATGGATCATTTATACAAACCTGGGTTCCTCCTTCCTTTCAGGTATCCCACAACATTGTAGATCTTCTTGTAGGACACCTGGTTTCCAACAGTCAGAGTAATCTTCTTTCGTTCTATGAAGAAGGAAAGACAAACTTTAAGATGAGCTACACTGCGGGAAAAGAAAAACATTTTTGAAATTCCTTGTAGGTGATTTCAAACAGGGAGAGCTCAGCTACTAATTCCAATTGTCAAAAAAAAATGTGATTTGTCCATCAACCAGTTGTCCATGTGTTTCTGTTTGGGAGAATGTGTAGTGTATATGTGGAGAAAATGCCTTTCAAAGTAATGCATGTTTTTCTTTTGTTTGTTTTTTCAGGATAACAGGATGTTGCAAAAAATGGCCTTGCGGTTCAGTCCGGAATTTTTCTGACTGTTGGGACTTCAGAATTATGAGCCGTCTTATCAGTGGCACGGCAACGTTTCAAACACGATCCTAGCTTTGACCAGCCTTTGCCAATTTGATGTATTATGTGAGTTGAGGAGTGACAATGAATCCAAATTTGTCCCCAGTGTGATGAAACAGCAAAATACTAAACACTTATTTTGTTGGTAATTGCCCAGAGAGTGAACGTAAATGAGGAACAACACGACTTACAGGCTCTGATATAGACGCTGGTGCCATATAAACTAAAACATACCAGACAGAAAAGCAAACTGAAATCAGAGGAAACTGGTGAGAAACAATCTTCAAATTCGATGGTAAAATAAAACCAGCAAATCAACAGATTATTTTTAGGCAGTCTTGACTGATTCATCCACTCTACTAACCACTTTGGCCCAAAACCTTTAGAAATATAAATAAAATTTGTTGGCAGAGAACATTTTGCGGATACATTTAATAGAAATGATTCTTTGTTATGTTTATCAAATAAAAACATAATCCCTGTAGCATAACATTTCTCTCAAATTATATTTTCTAACTGCATATTTGTTGGATATGAATGTTTGAATTTCAGGGGGTAGAGTTGCCTATCAGTGTGCAGGACAGACAAAGAAAAAAAAAAACGACAACAAAATGTGTTCAGAGTGGTAATGGTGTCCAACATGACTTCAGAGAGGTGTCATTTTAAGAACAATTGATACAAATCGATCAACCAGACTAACTGACACCATCAAATAATAAAGTAAATGTACAATAAGAACAAACCCAAACACACACTCCCTTACACAGTATTTCCAACATGTTCTCCTCCTGCCACTTTGTCAGTGGACTTAACATAGTTCACACTAGGTATCCTCCTGTGTCTGTTAGTGACGTTCCGGTACGCTGTGTCAATTTACATTTGTTAAATGCATTCTGTCTTTTCAAAACACATTTCGTTTTTAGAGGGAATGTACCATTTCTGTTTGTTTGATGGATACAGAAAAAAAAAAAAAGTACATTGGCAAAACACCTTGAAGTTACGTTTATGTTTTCCATGTGCAACAAAAGCACGTGGTTAGGTTTAGAAAAAAAAACATCATGCTTTGTCTTAACATTCCCACGGGAAGTGAAGAAAGCAGTGAAAGTCTGCAGCAAACTGACATATCTTTTGCAGCTTAACACCACTGGGCAGCATTATAAACTATCTTTTTGCATCTGTCTGATGCCAAAAATCACTGACAAAGCAGTGGTATTTGACAATTTGGCAATGAAACCCTGGCTGGTATCTCATATTCCCAGCATCTTACCCAATGTATGTCAAGTAAATGACAGTTGAATAACAGTGCTTATCAATTTTCAAATTTCTCTATAGGTAAACTATGCCCATTTCTAAAATTCATACATGTTATTACTATGGTCAAAGACAGTCCAAAAATATAAGTAAACATGAGCTTTCTCCCAAATCCAAAATCTCTAGTGCTAAAACTCAAACTTGTGATGTAGGGTATAAGGTCTGGAGCTGCTCCATAGATAATGAATGATGACAATGAAAGACTGCTCTCAATGTCATCTAGCGGTATACACCTAATGAACTAGTAGTTGCAACGCGCCATAAAACCAAACGAAGAAGAAGAATTTATCGCACTGTGATTGGCTGAGAAGGATGTTATTGACATGGGTCTGCTGTGGTGAAACTACAATGTTCTAAAGATGGACTACAAAATGCACACAATGAGAACGTATGGGGCATACGTTCTCATCGTGTTGTTTCATGCAGGATATATAAACGTGGAAAACACGGTGAAAGATATTGTTTAATTACTAAGGTCGGAATTGAA